TCAGATCACGCGGGGATCCACTATAGCCGCTCCGCACCACAAAAAAACAACGGCGGCTCCTACTTGCCATATCGCCAAACTGGTACTACGGTCATCTAGCGGCAACGCCGCCTGCCGTGGTGCCAAACAGACAACACTTCCCCATACAACCACATGAATGTTGATGTCAAATGTTGACACCAAACGGTGAATCCGACGACACCTCCCTTCACAATGTTGTGCCGCTGCCAAATAAAATCGGCAGCATTTCCTCACCGACAGCGTCGCTGCCGCCATGCAAAATTGGCAGCGCTTCCGGACCCCTGCTGTTAAACCCAGTTATTGTCGCCGCAAAAAGCCGGCATCGCTTCCGTGTCACAGCCAAAAGAAATCACATCTGCTGCCGAAAAAATCCGGCGGCGCTCCCGAGGTACATCAACAAAAATACTGTCGTCGCCACAAAACTCGCGCAGCATATCCCCAACACTTCTCCAATTGTGGCTGTCGTCACCGTGATGGCTGCGCAACACCTCCCTTGCGCTGCTGCCAACAGTCGCGGCTATGGCAGCACGCATATCCACCAGCTATGCCGCAGCCGCATCACTCCAGCGGCCTTCTCCCTCCTTGTAGAGGTGGTGGCTATGGCAGCCTCCAACCTCAGTTGTCCTGCAGACTTCCACTTTCCACCCTCAGCCAGCAGCTCTTCCGTAGAGGTGGTGGCTATGGCAGCCTCCAGCCTCAGCTGTCCTGCATACCTCCACTCTGTACCCTCAGCCAACAGCTCCTCCTCCAAACAGCCAGCATTCACTCAAGTAGAATGCCAGCAGCATTGGCCACGAATGAATGCTGGCTGGCTGGCTGCTGGCTTGTTTTATAGCCAGCTGAGGGCAAAGAGCAGCAGCTTTGCCCGACAAAACTCGGAATAGGGCCTAACCCTTGATGTAAATCGCGATCAAGGGCCAGGAAACTTGATGTTCCCCTAGGGGAACCAAGTTCTGGGCCCTGGTAATGCATCTGGCATTCACCCACGGCCAGACGCAATGCACAAATGGCTGTACTCAGCCATTTCCAACAGACTGCTGAACTCAACAGTCTGCAGTCTTATCAGAGCCCAGATGCCTCTAACATTGCATCTGGGCCTGCGTCGTGACCAGATTCGTGACATTCCCCCTCTCCCATCTTTCCCTTTTTCTTCTTCTTCCTACCCCTGTACCTATTCTACCCTCGCGGCTACGTACGTGGCCGCCACCTTTCTTGGGCAGAGGCAGCTCGTTCTGGAAAACGAGCAGCCTCCCCAGTCATTTCACAGGCCCCACTATCCATGCTCAAGGGGCTGTCACCCCCTGTCGCGCCCGTATCTGGGCCAAAACAAGCACCGGATACAGGCGCGCGGCCCTAAGCCCCTTTCCTCTTTACTCTGTCTCTCTCGCTTACTTACCCCCTCTCCCCGAACGTAGCCGCCCTAGGTGGTAGATACATTCGATTTTGCTCATCCAAGGATGAGTTGTCGGGGCTCAGCCCCCTAATGAGTCAGTGTGGCTCCGACGAAACAGTCGGGCACGTCATGCCCCTTCGTAACTCAAGCACAGATCCTAAAAACCCGCGCCCGCATGCAGCCGCTATTAGCGGCAGGTCCATTCGTCGGGGCACTATGAAAGCCCGACAGCCTAGCGCAAACAAGTCTTTTTTTTTTTTTTGCTTTTTTTTTTTTCTCTTTTTTTTTTTCCTCGTTTTTTTCTTTTCTTTTTCTTTTGTGTCCCGTTCGTCCGAAACAAACGGGCGCCCAAAACAACAGACACAAAAGAAGAAAAGGAAAAAGAATCTAGACGAAATCTAAGAAGAGAAAAAGGCAAAATCTAAAGAAAATATGAAGTAAAAAAAGGAAAAAAAAAGAAAAAAAAAAGAAAAAAAACGAAAAACACCTACCTCTAAAAGCGGTTGCCCGTTCGAACAGGCACTGCCAGATACAGTAGGGATCTAACGCCCCAGGCGCCTAAGGCTGCGCCGCCTGTGCCAACTTTTTTTTTTTTTTT